TTCTCTCACAGAACAAACATCAGCCTGGTGGGATAACCTGGTGGTGGTTATGATGCATTCATTCACGATAGCATAACCACCACCAAAGAATTGGCCACCACATGTCTTGATGCATTCAGTTTCTGATGCCTACTCCAAGTTTACCCCTTTCTTTCACCCTAACTGTTTTAAGTTTTTCCTAGAATCCACCCAATTACTGAAATCGTATGTCTTTAATTTTGGATACTAAGTTTTGATTTGATAGGTTTCAATACTGCTGATTTTTTTGTGATAGATTTCTGTATGAAATAGCACATTTTTATGTTCTATGGTTTTTCTCTATCTAAAGTCCTCAATACAGAGTTTTTAAATGGGCTAATGGTGGACTATCAGAAATGAAAATTTTTTAGGCTTTCACTTGGCAAGAAAGAACAGCAACACTGAGAAAACTTAATTATGCTGGAACAGAACCTTTGTCCTTATTATAATAGAAATTGTTAGGAAAATAAAAAATATGTGCTAATTTTAATTAACAAATATAATTTATGAAATGAATGTCTTTCAAGATGTCTGGGTATCTGAATGTCTTTCAAGATGTCTGGGTATCCTTTGGGGACAAATTGTTGATTTGAGCTATAAACCAAGACTAAATATCATTAACCATGAGCAAACAATATGTACTTTCTCCAGATTACACGGGTCGCATAGCACACACGCATAGCTCACTAGAGGCATTAAATTTTGGGGTTTGGTATTTATGGTTCCAATTTGGATTACACATACTAATTGTGTTTGTGTTTTCTATTTATTTGATTGGTTATGGGTTACACAGTGAATGTGCATGATTGAGTAATGGGCAATTTTACTGATTGTATAGTATGGAGGATGGTAAAGTTTATTTTTTTGGTGATGTTCTTGCTAAATTTGCTGATGAGTTTTCTTACTACGATGAATGAGTTTTATGGGTAATTTTCATGGATTAGTAGTTGTGTTGATTTTTCTTGGCATTAAGATTGTCTTCTACATTTTGAAAATCTTAAACTAGGGTTAATTTCTAGAAGCATTTTGTATGTGTTGTTTGGTGTTAGTGAGCAAGGGGTCTGTTTGATGAAGTTCCCAAATGGTTAACCTCCATTATAGATGGTTTGCATTTTTTCTTTGTTTCTACTATGTAAACTACATGTTTAAGGAAATGGTCATACAATATGTATTTTCAACATGTATGGACTTTAGTTGGTTGCACTAATTCAGTTAAAGCAATTTTAGGGTATTTGCCATTTTGGGTAGGAGAGCATTTTTTCCAGCCCAATTTGGGTTTGGGCTCCAAGTGCTTGATAAAATGCATAGAAACAATTATTTTAATGTAGTGAAGACTATTCATCCCTTTTGCTTAGAAATAGAGACTGCATCAGGGGACAAATTTATGGTCCATCCAGGTTACTTTAGGCATTTTAGTATTTTTGTTATAATCTATTCATACGTTATGAATTGTAAATTGCACTATAGCAAAATGAATAGCCCTGAAATTCATATATGATGCTTATATTAGTATTTCCCTTACTTTATGCAGCTAAAAATCAATTGATAATTTGGGTGTTTTGTAACCTTTCAATTTTGGGTGGGATTTTTTTTTTTAAAAAAAAATTCTTGCAATTGAGTAATTAATTTTTTATTTTTCTCAACTAGTCACGGGAAATTTATTTTTATGAAAATATCCAATTTTAACTCCAACATTGACTCTGGAATCAAGAAAAAATCAGTGTTATGTTGTCACCTGTCATTGTTTAGAGCGGTGGGTGGTCTCTATTGGTTGCCGAAAAGTATGCATTTAAAATTCTTTATAATTAGGGTTTGATGAGTAATTAGTTTTATAGATATTATTATGATTATTATTTTTGATTAGTTGAATATGGGTTGTGGTTTGATTTCATCTTTCAAGTTTCAATTGCTTCATAAGATTGTGAAATGGCCCGAGTTTGGTTTGTTGAATTTGAATATTTTTTTTACTTGAAATTTAATGATTGGCTTAATGTTAATTAATGGATTGACGGTTGTTTCATGCTAAAGTTAATTGTAAGGGATTGATTATAGAATTGGCACAAATAACTTTGCTGACAAGTTGTTTGAACAAAATTTAGATTGTAAGCTTATTAGGAGGATGAACCCACCCACCTAAGTGTTATACCTAAAATTATGGGCATTTAAAAATTCCTATAAATGATGGTTGAGAAACATTGATCTTTTTTTCGTGTTTCTTGGACAATTCAAAATATTTCATGATCTTTGATGCCAACATAGTTTTTGATGATTCATTATTCAAGTGGAAGATTGAAAAGTGATGTTTTGAGATTATGGGGACCTTAATTGTGCTCTGTTTTTGCATCAATAAAGGATTGGAAGATGGTGAACAATTGGCTACATAATAGTGCTATAGGTAAGGACCCATGGAAGCCTTTTCTCATTAGGTGATATTGATTTTAATAATTGACAATTGTTGTATATATTGATGCATTTTTTTATTGATTTCATTTCATAAAAGAAGGATGGAAATGTGACGAATGAATACAAGCTTTAAGGTGGACCTTTATAATCTTGAGTGATAACCATTTTTCTTTTATTTGTTTCTTAACACGAATGGCTCTGTTTGTAGTATCAATTGCGTATGGAATTTGTTTAATAATATATATGCACTGGGAGAATAAATTGTGTGTGGTTGGAATACATTGTTTATCTTAATATATAGTTTGGTTGAATGCAGAAAAATTATTAAAATAAAATAGGTATTCTGTATACCATTAATTATGATATGATTTTTAGCATTTAGTACCATATTTAATTCTTGGTGTTGTCACTAAAACATAATTAAGGCGGAGTCTTTCCATGTTATCTTTCACTTATATCAATGCTTAAATGTACTTGGATCCTTCCTGGCAATATTCTAATTTCTTTGGTTCTTTAGAAATAATGCATGGCATAGCTTTATTATTTTTATAGCATGGCTCGGGATATGATGGTCAAAGTATTGATGAAGTCTTTTAGTTCTAAACTTCAATTATTAACTCAAGTAGTTGGACATTTAAACCACAAGCCTTAAAACATTTTTTCTTTTGATTGCATTTAGTACCAAAGTATTGATGATGCATGAATTGTCAGCTATTGCGATTGTTGTGTTACCGTGCCTTCTTGATGTTTGTTCTTTTGAAAAATGAAGGTGGGAAAAATTGAATTTATTGGATTATAAATTCTTAATTGTGTGCCTTCGCCGCATGTTTATCCTTTTTTTTTCTTTTTCAGTGGTAAAACTATTTTTTTTTGATATATTTTCAATCTTAATCATGAAGGTGTGCATATTGCGCTAAAAAGTATATATGTTCAATGGCGTTTCCCCTGAACAATTAGTGTCATACCACTTCGAATGTGATCTATTGTTTGAAAACTATAAAGGTTTATGGGTTTAAGAAACTTTGTCAATCGAAAGTTTATTATGCCTATAAGTTTTACTGTCATTTTTTTTCCCTTTTTTTTTTTGGTATTCAGTTGATGTTAATTGGCACGCTATCTTTTAGATGTTGAAAGAACCCCTATCATGAAAAGAATCCTCTTATCTCTATTTTCCCAATTTCTCGGTTACAAATTACTCCCATTTTTATGCTCCCATTTTTTTTATTGGGTTTATACGATTGCCTATATGCTTTCATTTGCTCGCACTTGCTTTATTGGGTTTGCAGTTCATATTTTCCAGCCTATGGGGTGCTTTGCTAAAATCTATATATAACCAAAAAGATCCTAAAATATTTAGTTACGTCTATGTGAAGGGTTTGGTTTGGTGGGTGGCAGAGTATAGCGTGAAGTGGAATTTGGAGATATATGGTAAGGTTGGTAGTTCNTTTTTTTGGTAATTGGTAACTAGTTATGTTTAGGCATGACAATGGTTAATATTATGATATTATTGTGGTAGTCAGTAAATAATTGTGTTTAGGCAACACATCGGTAAAAAAATATTATGTTGGTGTGGTATTTGTCACTTAGTTTGAGCTAGAAATGCATATGACATAGTTTGGGTATGATTATGAAAAATACAAGTTTTGTAGCCATGTCGATATATTTGTGGTATCATATTTTTAAGGGTTACTCTGTCGAAAATTTGAAAGTTTCTTACATTGATTTCAATTTTTTTTCTTTAATATAAAGTAAAAGGGAGCTTGGTTTTTGAATTGCTCAAATTTTAGAATGACCCAAAATATAATTCAAGTGTAAATAATTTTGAATTGGGCAAAGCTTGGTTTTGTTGATTCATTGAGGTAGAGATTTATTTAGAAGTAGTTTGTGTGATTAAAGTTGTATATGATTGAAAATTTTTATGGGTTTATTCCAATTTTTTAAGAAAACGGTTGTATCATAGAATCTTATGTTTTGTTTATTACTTTTACAAGTATTCATATAATTGTTCGTGTACGAAGAATGATTTTCTATTGTTTTAGAATCATAAATTGTTGTACAAGCACGTACATTTTACTTAGTATTTAATTGATTGCCTATATAGGTTGATAATTTATTGTGATCCTATTTCTAGAGAAAATTGTCTAAATATTTTTAAAAGACCAAAATAAATTATTTTAGATTAAATATTAACAATTTTTGTTTAGCATACATGGTACATTCAAGCTTTAATAATCCTTCTAAAAATTGAAATAAAAATATTTTGACCCATTTTATTTCACTAAAGTCGTGACATTAAAAATTCAGTTTAGACTTTCAGTTGAATGTGTGCCTATGTTCAGTGTTTGATTGTTTCGTGTTCAAAAAAAATATTTCTTTTTTTTAATTGTATAATGTCTTCAGGCATGAGTTATAGGGACAATTTAGACTATCAGCTTAGTACACGTCCGAGTTCGGTACTAGATTATTTCGTGCCCAAATTCAGTATTTATTTATTTTTAATTGCATCGTGTCTTTAGGCATAGGTTATCCCTAATATATCTATATAATAAAACATGATACAACTTGAATTTTATCCCCACTTTATTTTCCCCAAAAACCATCACATCCAACCCAATCCAACCATCACATCCAACCCAAGCCAGAGCAATGACTCCTTGGCAAACACACAGAACAAATTCATTTCCTTTCCCCAAATCCATGCCGAAGGAAAGCTCTCCCCAAATCCATGCCGAACACAAAGCAACCCTGGCAACACATAGAGCACTTGCTCTCATCTCAGTCTCTTCTCTATTAGACAGCGAGTCACTTCCCCAAATCCATGCAGGACGGGCATCGAGTCCCTTCCCCAAATCCATGTTGAATATAGGCTACAAGACAGACACAACCACTTCAAACCTCTATTGTGCAAACACCCCCCCATCCCTCTTCTGCGCAAACACCATCCCCTCCCTTCCCATCTTTCGTTTTCTCCCTCCCTTCAATCACCACCTCATCTTTCTCTTACTCGCGCATCAACGCCCAGCCCCAACAGCACTCAGACTGGTTTATGAATTTACTCATGCGGGTTTCTGAATTTGGTTTGGAATATATTCATGGTGGTTTGATTTGGGCAAAAAATCACCAATCACTAATAATCCATTACTTTGAGGTCTTCATCCAGGATGCAGTCTCTTACTCACTCGCTTTGATTTTTTTTTTTTCCCAGTTTTACATTTTCCAATTCATTAGTAGATTTCTGCAAATGTATATATGTGCTCTAGGTTTACTAGATGCAAAGGTTAGCAAATTGGAAACAACCCCAAAGAAAGGAGGAACACTAGAAGAATTTTGTGTGTAGAAATTGTGATGACAAAACTCTAATTTTTTCAGTGTTTGTTTAGTTTTCAACCTTTTTATGTTTATTTTACCTTTTTCTTTTATTTGGGAGCAATTGAGGACCAAAACTTCAATTTTTTTGGAGATTTGTGCTCTTATTAAGCCGATTTTTGGTATTTCTCGGTCTCTCTCTCTCTCTCTCTCTTGGTGAATTTGGCTTGGCTATGATGTATGTACTTATTATTTGTGATTTAGATTGCTTGGGGAAAGTGTATTTGGAGTATTGGGGCATGTGTACCAATGCTATAGGATGTATTGTCATTGTGCTTTTGTACGCAGGTTATTCTGTTGCAATTTTATGGTTGTAGTTTACTTGAGCCTTTGGTATAGACGTCTGGATTTATAGTAAAAAAACATACCATCTATATCTAGACCATCTATATTCTATTGCAATTGGATTGTTCTTGATATTTTAATGAGCATACTGATTGTTTGGCCTTCCAATTCTAGGTTTGCTATGCACTGTTTTATTGCAAAACAACTCTTATTTGCCACTCTAGTTTGCTTGAAATTGAGTATAATATTTATGCGTGGAATTTGGTTTAGCTTTGTGGCAAATTATTATGCTCCGGTACTGCAAAATAGGTTGACTGTGAGTATAATATTGCATTGCACAGGTTCTTGGGTGCTTGGTGATTTATTAAAAGATTGAGAATTGTTATACATTTATATTTGGGTAGTTGTGTTGATTTTTCTTGGCATTGAGATTGTCTTCTACTTTTTGATATATAGAAGCATTTTGTATATGTTGTCTGGTGTTAATGAGTGTGGGATGTGTTTGATGAAGTGCCCAAATGGTTAACCTCCATTATAGATGCTTTGCCTTTTTTTTGGGTTTCTACTATGTAAACTGCATGTATAAGGAAATGACCATACAATATGTATCTTCATCTAAAGCAATTTTAGGGGATTTTTTCGTTTTGGGTGGGGGAGCATTTGCCCAGCCTAATTTGGGTATGGGCACCAAATGCTTGATAAAATGCATAGGAACAATTATTTTAAGCAGTGATGCTTATGATGGTGACTGGGGAAGGAAGAGTTATTTTAACTGTGGTTGTAACCTCAACTACCAGTTTTCCAGATTGTAGGGGGAAACATATGCACTATGCAGAACCATAAAACTTCTTAATTTTTCTTAATTGCAATTTCTTATATGATTTGTGTGTTTTTCCAAAATCTTTAATGCTAGCAACTTCATATATCCTTAGATTGAGTATGCTTGCAGCTTCCTATGACCTGCTGAAGCAAAAACATGACCAAAAATGCCTTTTAAATTTGTTTCATAGATTTTTTGATGTTCCAACCAAGTACCCTGTCTCAATTACTTGAGTTCTTGGTGTAACTTGGCTTGGACTATAATCACCATAATGCAACTCCTAATTTATGGACACCAGCACCATTTGTGGACTCATAAATTTTTATATCCACTAACCAAATACATTCCAATGGTGGAGCATTTGTTCCATTTGAATATTTGCAAGATTTTATTCTCTTTAATGAAAAATGATTTATCTGCTCTAATTTTTTTCTAATTCTATGTTTTAAGGATATCCCCATGAATTTGTTTGAAATCATTTTTTGCTTGCTCTTAGCATTTGTATTGTTCATGTTCAAAGTTTACTCACACATGGTAGTTAAAAGATTAGGCTAGGTAGATTTATATGCACTATTTTTATCTTATTTGTTTTGTTAATTGTTAATTGCATAGATCATTTAAACTTTGAGCATTCTTGGGTGCATGCAACATGAATATTTTGTTGTTGGAATGAATTCATATGTTGTTATGGAATTCGTTTACGTAGTTGTGTTAGTTGGGAAATGGCCGTGTTAGGTAAAACTATGTAATAGTGAGACATTTAGTAACCTTTTTGGTTATGAAAATAAATTGTGTATACAAGTTGAAATTTTTAGGAGGGCCTATTTTAGGGGAAAATTTGGCTAATTTTTTTAAAAATATATTGAGGGTTTAATTTTTTGTGCAGTGGATTTCTAATTTTTGCTAATTGTTTTGTTTTTTGTTGCTCAGCCTCCTTAGGCACAAGTACAAGATCAATTGAACCGATCATCTTGATTTGTTTTAGTTTTGTTTGGATTTGAGACTTTTGTTGTAGCAATTTATATATGGGAGCTAATATGAAAGTTAATTAAATGTGTGGATTTGGAATTGAGGGTTGGATTTGATATATGTAGAGATAGATAAAGTTGAACTTTGTTCTATCGTTGATATTATTATGTTGTTGCGGTAGTTGATAAATGTTTTGTTACACTAGAATTGAGGTCTGATATTGAGTTTTATAAATGAATTGGTACTATATGTATAGGCACAACTATGGGTTTTTGACGTGCAGAACAATAATTATTATTGTTTTGATGCCTAAAGCAATTGGTAAATAGTCATGTTTAGGCATGATGATGGTTAATATTATGATGTTTTTTTTAGTAATTAGCATGCATATGACATCGTTTGGTTATGATTATAAAATATATATAAGTTTTGTAAACAGGTTGTTATATTTTTGGTATCATATTTTTCAAATGATACTCTACCGAAAAATTGAAAATTTTTTACATTGAGTTTAAACCTCTCATTACATGGTTTTTGAATTAAGCAAATTTTTTAGTGACCCAAAATGTAAATCAATACCTCTTGCTTGGTTTTTGTTCATTCATTGAGATAGCGATTGATTTCTAAGTAGTTTATGTCATTTTGTTTTGTTATTAATTAATCTGTGATTGAAAATTTTTATGGGTTTATTTTAATTTTTTAAGAATCTTATGTTATGTCTGTCACTTTTACAAGTATGAATATAATTGTTTGTGTAGGAATAATGGTGTTTGTGGTAATTGGTACATAGTTGGATTTCAATGTGCATATGACATGAGTTGATTATGATTATGAAATATATAAGTTTTGTATACAGGTTGATATATTTGTGGCATCAGATTTTCAGAGGATACTCTGCTGAAAGATTGAAAGTTTCTTATAGAGTATCCACATTTTGACAGAGTATCCATATTTTGACCCTTTTTTATTTCACTAAAGTCATGACATTAAAAATAACCAAACGATTTTCAGCTTAATGCATGTTTATATTCATTGTTTGATTATTTCGTCTTTAAAAACTATATACAATGTCTTCAAACACATGATATAGGGTGTGTCCAAGTTCAGTGCTTGATTATTTCGCGTTTAAATTATATGTTCGATTTTTTTGAGTTGCATCGTCCCTTCAGGCACGGGTTATCCCTAGTTTATTTATGATTCAAGCAATTGTACGTTGCAGTACTATTGTATTGTCCCTAATTGATTGGTCTATTTGTTATAGTTTTTTTTATAAAAAATTTAACAATGGCTGAAGTAATGTGATGTCATTTGTTAATTCTAAAAAAATCAATTATAAGCTTTTCTATTTAGTTTGAAATTTTTTGTTGGTTTGTTTTAAATATATTATTTATTAATTGCCAATTTTTCCCCTTGCAGGATCAAACCATGCTCACCAATCATATTCAATATTAAATCAACCACACTTGAATTCATAATTGATGTCGATGATTTTGCAATTCTTTGAAAGAATTTTAGGTAAATGATTGTTCTTTTTTACTTGGTTTTAACACTAAACTTGTGAGGTAATCAACTGAGAACTCCCTTCGATTTGGTTCTATTTCTTTGGATTATATTGATTTTAATGCAATTTAATCTGCCTTTCTTGATATATATTGACATTACCTAAAGCAACCAAAACATTATGAGCTTTTAATTTTTTTTCTTCGTTCTTTCTACGTTATTGATATTCTAGCAATGTGAAAATTCTTATTGTAACAACATTCTTTATATTGAAATTCAAACTGCAATAGAGTTTCTACACCCTCGATTATAACATTTAATTTTTTTGGTGTTATAGATTCATTGTCTTTGTAATTAAGGAAATAAGTGTAATTTAACGAAAACTTGTAAGCATATGCTTAAGCAATAACTAGAACACCAACGAAGCCTTAGCCTTTGATTTCTCCAAAATCCCTTTTTTGAATCTTTGATGAAATACATCTTTTTTTGGTACGTAGGCGTAGCTCTTGTCGTGTAGATCAACTTTAGTACTTGGCCCGAAGGATTCAGACCAACAAAATTCTATAGATCGTGGAGAGAAGCTGGAGTTTTTCTCTTTTTCCCTCTCTTTCTCTCTCCAACGAAACCTAGCAAAATGTGTGGGGGAGAAAATCTTCTTTTCTCCCCTATTTATACCTTTTAGGTGCTTAGTCCACATTGCGCCACACGTTCCCCATTCCTGGGTCCGATTTCATCCCGAAATGGTTAAATTTCGTCCCGGTTCAAGTTCAAAAATTTTTTATGTGAACTTTCTTTAAATTATTTTCCAACTATCAAAATTTTATTGCATACCTCGTTTTTAGGTCATGCAACACTCGATCACCTCATAAAACACAAAAAAAATCAATTATCTCAGGATTTGACGAAAATTAACTA